GCAAGTAGTATGTCAGATTCATATCTATATGTAAGATAAATGGGAATAGTTCTTTCTGCACATTTCTGAGTTTTTATCCCTCTCGCTTAAAATAAGATTTTAGGCTTCATCTCTCTCTATTTCTAAGTCCGTGGCCCTTTTAAAGCTATATTAATTTTATGATAAAGCTGTACGTAGCAATTAATTTATTGCATATTAGCAATTCTTTCTCGCCTGTGACGTCATAAATCAATATGGCTGCGAGAATATAGCTGACTATCTCTATTGCTCTCTCTCTCTTTCTCTTGCACGTACTATTTGCATTTATTCCATGATTTAAAATTATTTATTTATAAACAGCCGCGATTTAAATATAAACTTGTTTATATTCAATTTACGACTTTATATGGCTTGTACTGCAGATTTTATCAAGATTATTTCTGATATCGTGTTGTTATACCACGTGTTGTCATTGACTTGTACGAAACTGTACGTAATCTGATGTAATTGTGTATAGCAGTTAAATAGACATCGCATTTCCGCAGTTAGCATGTCGATTCTGAATACGTTACAACGAGTAGGAGCCTTGGCGCGGGCGAGTCTGATCCATAAAGTGAGTTACTGAATCTATTAATTGAAAATGAATGTAAACAATATCCTCTCAGGATGACTTCGATCAAACTCTGCTTAACTAAACTCGGCGATTAATTCATCAATCAGCATCTGCATTATTTTATTAGCATAAGCAGAAATATTGACTTTTTTTTATTTAGCTTTAAATAATGCTACTGCTTTTTTGACCTTAATTCTTAAATTTATTACCAAAGGGTTAATACATTAATTATTACTTATTCTTGAATTGTAAAACGAGCTAGAATGCTCATTGCAAGTTTTAATTATACGACTTGTTACTTTTAATTTATAAATTTCCCCATAAACCAGTTAATTATTTTGTTTGTGTTAATAAAATAATATAAGTATTACTTGATAAATTAATTGCCAATTAAGTTAAACAAAGTTGATTAAAGTTTGATTAAAGTCGCCTTTATAGATCTAAATTTCTTGCAGTTGGATCCAGCAAGAACCATCACATTTTCGTGTGTACGTTATTCCACCGAAGAAAATGTAGCTGAAGGTAATGCTGAAGATAATGCTGATAATACTGTAGATACTCCTAAGATAGCACGTAGACCAGTTATACCAGTAGAAACCAGTATTCAGTACATAAATAGTGATGGTAAGAAATTCATAATGAATTTTAAATATAATATGATCGACAAACATGACAATGTTATAAAATTTATTTTACATAACATGATTATCTATTATTATAAAATCCAGCTTATAAGCAAACCTATGGAGACAATCCAGTATGGAAGCTGTATAAAAGAAATCATAAAGGATTATTTCCACCTAGGAAAACTCGTAAAACTTGTATAGTACGTATACAAATCATATTTCTATCATATATTCTATCATAATTGACATAATGCTTTTAATATTAATGTAACATATAATATAGAGAAAAGGTCAAATTTCTACTGGGAATCCATGTCCTATATGCAGAGACGAATACCTTGTACTAGATCATAGAAATGTCAAGCTACTTGAACAATTTATTGATAAACATAATGGAGACATTTTGAGCTATTCGTAAGCAATATTCAAGTCCATTTCATCATCAATATTTGTTTTATTTTTATTTGCGTTAATATCTCTGTAAAAGTATCTCCTTTATTTTTATATTTATATCTTTTATATTTTTTTTTTATATTTTAATATAAAAAAATATAGAATATGAAATATATATTATTTACATTTCAGAAAGACAAACATTTGCCAAAGGCAGCACAAGCAACTCCTAATTGCAATAACCAGAGCCAAGGATTATGGAACTATCACATTCGATGTTCCTATAAGGCAATACGATTATTCCGAGTGGAAACCGGCAAATAATTAGTCTTTAATTATTTATATTTTCTTACATCCATATATATTTTTTCGTTAAATATAGAACGAATTTAGAAAAGATTTGGAAAAGATGGAATCTACATTTGTCATAGTAGGAGGCGGCATAGCTGGTGTATCTTGTGCGGAAGGATTGAGTTTTCTCGCTCCAGAGGAAAGCATAATTTTAATTACAGCTAGTCCTCTAGTGAAAGCTGTGACAAATATAGTTCCGTTAGGCAAAACGTTAATGCATTTTGATGTAGAAGAAAAAAGCGCGATAACCTTGGGCGAGACGCACAAGATGTTACAAGTTATTCATGATACTGCAGTTAAAATTGATACGGCCAAAAAGCTAATAGAAACTGGCAGTGGAAAAGTCATAAGTTTCAAGATGTTGTGTCTCTGTACCGGCGCGAAACCCAAACTGATAGCCGAAAAGAATGATTTCGTTATAGGTATCCGCGATACAGAGTCTGTACTACAATTTTCTCACAAACTTAGGAACGCTAAAAGAGTTATAATCGTTGGTAATGGAGGTATCGCTACCGAAATTGTACATGAAATTAAAGGCGTCGAAATGATCTGGGTAATTAAAGACAAACATATTTCCGCAACTTTCGTCGATCCTGGAGCCGCAGAATTCTTTTTAGACAAGATTTCTTCCAAATCCGATATATCAGAGAATTCTAATAAAGACAGACCTACCAAAAGAATGAGATACGTTGTATCGGATAGTATATCATTTAAAAACGGGGCCGCTCTTGGCCCAGATTGGCATAACAACTTTGATATAAGCGGTTCGCTTTTTACATCAACAAACGTCCAAGTTGAGTATGAATGCGAGATATCAAAGTTACTTACCTGCGATGAACAAAAAGAATTTGATTCTGCTAAAGAATGGCCAATCTATGCGCAACTAACGAATGGTAAAATCATTGGGTGTGATCTTATAATCTCGGCAACAGGTGTTATCCCAAATTCTGACATATGTGGGTTGGAAAATCTCGAAAGAGGGGAGGACTCCGGATTATTAGTAGATTGGAAGCTAGAAACTTCAAAGAAGGATGTTTATGCCGCCGGAGATGTGTGTACTGCAAATTGGCCGAAAGCAAAACATTGGTTCCAGATGAGACTGTGGACGCAGGCTCATCAGATGGGTCGTTACGTTGCAAAGTCAATGGTCTCAAACTTGAGAAGCGAAGAATTTTTGCAGGACTTTTGCTTTGAACTTTTCACTCATGTAACCAAATTTTTCTCCTATAAAGTTGTACTGCTCGGTTTGTACAATGGGCAAACTTTGGGAAAGAATTACGAAATACTTCTACGAATTACCAAGGATGAAGAGTACGTTAAAATTATTTTGCAAGATGGCAAAATGCAAGGCGCAGTGCTCATTGGCGAAACGGACTTAGAAGAAATGTGTGAAAATTTGATACTTAATCAGTTGGATTTAAGTATATATGGTGAAGATTTGTTAAACCCTAATATCGACATTGAAGATTATTTTGATTGATATATCACTAAATTTTTAATGTAGTTACTAATGTATCCACTAATGTTATCCTGTTAGTTCCACTTTTTATCCTGTTGTAATAAAACCAACTATATGTATCATTGATTATTCATTTAAAGATTTATTGTCTTTTATGGCACATAAGTATGAAAAACTTCACAAAATTTTCGCAGTCTTTTTTACATACACAAGTCTTACAAGCTGTGTTTATTTCTATAAAAATAAATTAGCTTTAAACTAATTAAACTAAGTCTTAAATTTAAACGTAAATATTAAAAATTCTTATTTTTTAATTATTAGCATACATCATAAATATTATATCATTAATTCTCAATTTACATACATAATTTACATACATATGTTAAATTAACAAATATTCACTTTCATTTAACACATTCTTAAAACATGCCCATAAATTTCTTCTTATATTTTAGTAATTTACTAGGTTTATTTTAGTTTGGTGATATGAAAAAGTCTTGTTTTAATAGGGCTCAAAATTAAAAAAATTTATATCATAAAATAATAAAACAATGAAAACTCGTGAAGATGCAATCTAATTTAAAACGTATTAAAATGTACAAATTAATAAAATGTATCTAAAACTAAATATATAATGTAATATATATGTGTGTGTGTGTGTGTGTGTGTGTGTGTGTGTGTGTATATATATATATATATATATATATACTTTGTAATATATATTAGTATATGTTACTATACTAATGTGTTTCTTACATTTTTAAAATGATAGTGAAGGTTTATTTAGACACAATAAATATTCCATAAACAACTACTGATTTTATTTTATCGAATTTATTTAGTTTTATCAATAAATCTGACATTCTTTTGTGTATTTTCAGCTTTTGTATCTTGTACAGCGTTATTCTTCATATTAGATTTCTTCGGTGACATGTCACGTTTTAAGCAATTTTCAATATCATCTTCTATTGTTAATTTATTCACATTATTACTACTGGTATTATCTATCAAATTTGTACTTCTTTCTTTGCATTCATTTATATCCTTATTAAAAAGATTTTTTATATCGTTCGACATGTCGATAACAGTATTATTAGCACTGTTTATCGAACTTGCACTAATGTCCTCGCATTCACTCGAATCTTTACTTTGGAAGATGGTTTTTAGAGATTCAATAATATCGTGTAATCTAGTCAACGATTCGACAATCGGTTTAGTGTCATGATTTTGAGATCGATGGCACAGTTTATTTAAAGTCTTTGCGGCGACTTCGATTTGAGTGAGACATGCATTTACGTCCTCTTGCTGATCATGTATTATGGACGTCTGGTTTAGAGTTGCTTCTAGCATCGATGAATCCATGGAAACTTGATGGACACTCTCGTTTATCAATTGTCTTTTCACAGGAGTTATGTTTATCGAGATCCTGCTGCTGTTTAAAGAATCTTCAAATATTTCTGTTTCATCATAAGGTTCCCAATCACAATCAAAATTCTGTAGCTCCTTTATTGAGTCCTCTATATCGCAGTTTCTCAAGCGATAAATCCAATCTATAAAGTCCATCGATTGCCACAAAGTTTCCATTATAAGCTTTTTATTACGAATGCGAATCACTGGTCGCAATTTCTTCTTCAATACTGTTTGCTGTTGATCAAATTCCTAAAATAGAGGGTAAAAAACTTAAAGATATGTATGCATTATGTATGCAATCAATATATGGTGAATTCTTCATAATAATAAAAAAAAAATACAATGCTGTTTGTTATGCTGTATAGTTTAAAAGATATTTCTATATATAAAAATACATTTATTTGCACATAATATTAAATTTGTACATCAGATAGGATACAGATTTGTGCTGATTTATTACAATCAAAATATTGACATAAGTTTTTAATGCCAAAAGCATATTAATGTTCGCGATTTCATGCAGTGTAACTTACTGTTTCGAAAGAGTTAAATCAATAACGATCACTACCTCTTATCATAATTATAGTAATAATTGTAGTTACAAAAATATTTTTTTATATATGTAACACATTCAACTAATAAAAAATTTACTTGCAATACAATTCTTCTACGAACAACTAATAAAAAGATTGTTTTTTATTTTTTTGTACGAGAAATTATTAATTATCATGATTCAATATCTCGTATCATAAAATCATAAAAAAACCTCGTTCATACATAAAATATTGTAAAATAACTCACATAATTAAATCCGGCTTCTTTACATCGCTGGGTCGCTTCTTTGACGAGTATCTGCATTTCGTGTAGACTGATTCCACCAGCAGTTATCACATCCTCATTAAACTTTGTCTTTAGTACATTCTCAATATCCGCAGTTTTTTCGTTCAAAATATTCTCGAGTTCCTGCAGAAAATTTGATTTGTATGGCGACAATCTTGCGTGACTTTGTTCCAGTTGTATTTTTTTGATCTTATTGTTGGTCTCTACTTCCGTAACGAGTAACTCCTTTTCCAATTCTAGTTCCTTCTTTCTACGATTAATTTGTTCGAGCGCGTGCTTTTGTTCTTCTAGGGTGAAACCGAGAACCTCGATCTTCTGTTCGTACGTCGATTTTTGTGAACCGAGTTGTAATTCCACCTCACGTTTAGCATTTTCTAATTCTTTTATTGCTTTTTGTTTTGACTCCTCCAGTTCGGCTCTTAATCTATATACAAAAAATGTTAAATTTTAAAATAATTACAAGAAAACATATGATAATAATTATAGTAGAAAATAATCAGAATTATACAATGAATTATACAATAATCAGAATTATATTGAAACAAGAAATTACTTATGCTATTTAATACTTATTTCGGTAACGCTTGTAAGAATATGAAATTATTTAGTCACCAATGATAGCAGATAGTAGATAGCGAATGTAAAAACGCAAAACACTTTGATTAAATTCTCTTCAATGGCAAATGTATTTGTTATCGTTATCTTTATTATTGCTAAGTAAATATTTTCATATAATTGCATTCTGTTTAAAAAAAAATTAAATTAAGTTTTTACATTAAGAAGTTTTTTCTAACAACACGTATTTCAATGAGCGATACATACTTTTCTTCCTGTATTCGGAGAATTTCCTGATGTGCAAATTCAAAATCTATCGCTTGTGTAGAAAGCTTGACATTGCAAGGTTCATCATACGGATTTAGGACTTTGAAATAGTGATTACCACCGATGACTAAACGATCACCGTGTTTGAGCACAATTTTCCCAGTTACTATCTAAGAAGTGATTAGAAACATTTTTATTTAATCTCTTTATCTTTTATTAGTAATTAATTGATCCTTTATTTATCTATTACCTGCCCATTGACATACGTATCTCCGCCCATTTCAGGTGTCAAAATTAATTTTCCCTCGTTATTTTCAATAGAGCTAAGAGAAGAAAAAAAGAAAAATATAAACAAAGGATTGACATGACATTTT